AGAAAACGGGTGGGAACAACCATGGCAACCAGAAAAAGACAGGAAGAAATTACCATGGTAACCAGAGAAAACGGGTGGGAACAACCATGGCAACCAGAAAAAGACAGGCAGAAATTACCATGGCAACCAGAGAAAATGGCGGGAACCACCATGGAAAAACCATGGCAACCAGAAAAGGGCAGGAAGAAATTACCATGGTAACCAGAACAGGGCAAGAGGCAATTATTATACTGATGTAAATAACCATTTAATAAAAGAAAGGATATAATCCCAATCTGGGTTCTGTTTCAAGGTGTTCATGTTCGTGCCTAAAAAGTGTCTAGTAAAAGTTGCTATGGCAACCAAATAGTGGCAAAAGTTGGGGGCGGGGACTACAAATTCATGGCAATAATAAAATTTAAAACCACTTAAAAATTAGGGAAACACTGTTTATCTATATTTTTCTGAGCTCCTTTTCACCCTCTCTTTCCAAACAGAAAAAGTAGCCGAAGTTACCGTGGAAACCGTTAGCTAAAACAAAAATAGTGACAAAATTCACCAGAGTGACCTAAAAATAAGGGCAGAAATCCTGATGGTTGAAACAAAAAGACAAATAAATCATCACTACTGAGAAGGAGAAAGGTGACCGTGGCAACCAAGAAAGGCGGGAGTCGCTATAGCAACCACCTGGAATTTGACCAATGAACAGTGATCCTTCTCTAAACTGTGTTGTTGCTTCCCAGAGCTTCAGTCATGGGTTCTGTCTCACTGAGCTTTAGAACCGAATGTGTTTAAGGAACCGAATGTGTTCCCTTTCAGACGGAAGATTCTAGATCTTCACCTAAAAGGCATCAACGTTCCCCTCAGGACTAATTAGGAACATGGAAACTAAAGATGGAGACCATAGAGGGAACATGGACGGTCATTAAGCAGAACATCTGCAGGTTAAATTCAGTTTCCCAGCATCGGAAGCAAACTTTCAAACATTTCTAATAAACTCTGGGATTTTGCTTCTTATTTAGTCTGAAACCATAAAAACACGACATCAGATCCAGACCGAAGCAGCAGGAACCAAAAGTCCAGAGTCTGAGTCCAACTGAAGTGCAAGTGCTGAAAAGGAAGTCCTACGAATTCATGAAAACACTCTGGTTCTAGTGTGGTCCATCGCGTCTCGGTCCAGTGAGGTTTGGGTCGTCCACGCCCACAGGGAGGAAGACGATGACGGCGATGGCTTTACTTCACAGCAGCAGCTTGGGTCCTGCTCCAAAGTCTAACCTCTTGACCAGCCTGCAGAAAAAGGGAAAGCTGTGAGTGAAGCGGACTCTGGTCCTCACTCAGCAGCAGAGCGCAGCGCCTCACCCCTTGCTGTAGAGGCCGTTGGTAGGATGGTTCTCTGACGGGTCGCTCTGAGCCGGTGCTGATCCAGATCCGCTGCTGAGGCGTCTGCGGTTCGCCGTCTGCTCGTTGACAAAATCCCGACACGATGCCAGCTTAGACTCCAGGCTCTGCAAGAGAGGAATAAAGCTCAGGATCAGCAATCCCCCATCGGCTACAGCAATGCAGCGACGCACAGGAAACATTTAGAAAGCCTCCTGAGCTTCATGGTAGATCAGGGTTTCTGCAGATTCATCGACTCAAAGACAAGAATTTAGAAAAACTTTTTAAAGACCATTCTGAATTCAATTTAAAGGTCCAGTATTCTGCTTTTTTAACTCGTTCACTGTCACCTTCAGGCAAAAAAGATTGCCTAAAGGCGATCAAGGTGTGTCTTAAAGAATCACCCTCTAAGAATCACCCTTCCTCATTTGCATAATG